CACGAGATGGCTACTAGTGGATTATGAAGGATACGGCCTTCGCAGCATGCGTGCACGATTGCAAATGGCGGCCAACGCGTCGTTTTCGCGACAGGACGACGCGAACTTCGCCGTTTTTCGCGACTTTCGCGCATTTCTCGCGTCCCACTGCCCACTTGGAAGCATTTTTTGATAATTTCTCGTGCGAATTTCAGCTTGATATTTTCAGAAGTAATATTATATCCAAGGATGCCAATACAGTCGGAAAAAAAAGCGAAAATTTTCCGGAAAACCGTGACTTTTCGACCCGCGTCTCCCCTTAAAGTGGGCCTTCGGCGTCTTAGGTGTTAGTTGTAATAATTCCAGCATTCAGTGATAAATGGCTGCTTGTTCAGTGTGTGCTCTGTCAGTATGTTCTGTATAATCAATGCCTGTGTTTCAGGGCCGAGTGGCACCGGTGGCGAATGCGCCGCTGCTGGCGGCGGCGCGCCGCTCTGCTTTAGCCCAGCTGCCTCAGGGGACGCGCACTGCAGCTCACGTGGTGGCCTCCCAGCCCAAGGGACAGCCCAGGGTGGCCCACGTCCCAGCCCTGGTGAGTGCGTCTTTTCTCGGTTCCACACTCGTACTCACTCTTCGAGGGCACTTGCGCTACTGCCCAAAAGAGAAAAAGCCCGGCACCACATTTTAAGTTTACTCGTATCTAACAGTTCTGATGCATCTACTGCTCTGTCTTTGCTCAGAAAAGACAGAGCAGACAAAGACAGACCTTGACACTGTCTCAACCTGGTGCAATAAATGGCTTATGACTCTCAACTCTAACAAATCTAAATGCATGTCAATAACCCGGCGATCTATTTCTCCCCCCTGTACCTACAGAATTAACGCCGTTCCCCTCCAGCATGTCTCTTCATATAAGTACCTCGGCGTTTACATTACCAACAATCTATCTTGGCACACGCATGTTACCTACATCTGTAATAACGCTAACCGAACGCTAGGATATTTACGCCGCAACTTTTCTCGCGCTCCGCTGTCCCTCAAAATTCTATTATACCGATCACTAATTCGCCCAAAGCTTGAGTACGCGTCCGCTATATGGGATCCCGTGCAGCAAAATTTAATTAACGCGTTAGAATCTGTTCAGAACCGCTCAGTTCGGTTCATTTGTTCTAATTATTCCCGTACTGCTAGCATATCAGAAATGAAATCTACCCTTGACCTACCCAATTTAACTGTCCGGAGAAACTGGCGCGACTGCATTTTTTCATAAGATATTTTTTCACAATCCATCAATGAAGCGAGACCTCATTTCACAACCGTCATACCACTCATCGCGCATTGATCATCAGCATAAGGTTGCCATTCCGTTTTGCCGCACCAAATTCTTTTCAGCAGCCTTCTTACCGAAAACAGCCGCCGATTGGAACCACCTTCCCTCTTCCGTTGTATCAATAACAGACCCTTTGTTATTCAAGACTGCCATTTCTCAGCAATGCTTGTAACTATACGCAGTTTCCAATATCTATCTTTGTCTTGTATGTGCTTGAATTCTTATACATTTTTAGTTGACTTATGTTGCCTTCCTGATTTGCGCATCTGATACTTGTTTCTTTATTTTGTCTTTTTTCTTGTGTGTTATATATGTTGTACCCACCCCCTCTGTAATGCCCTACGGGCCCTGAGGGTATTCTAATAAATAAATAATAAAAGGGATGTCCCTTTTTATTTCTCTCTTACTGTGCAACATTGATCCTCCGTTTGCCATGCCAACCTTTCCTTCTCCTAAGCCCCTTCTTTCTTTTCTTCTCCATCTTTTCATGCAACTTAGACACTTGTTCGCTACTTATGCAGCAGTGTGGAAGCTCTCATTAACGTGCTGCAAGAATTATGTGGGTCAAAATAGACAGTGCATTTAGGGTGTCATGAGCAAAAGGGCGCGAGTCACGTGCTGGGCGCTGGAATGCGGCGTCAGTGCGCGAGACCCGTGATGGTGCACATACATGCCACATTCATGTACGAGTTTGTACAAGAAGGCTCGTGGCACGTGACCTGAGTCGTAATGAAAATTCACGAAAAACATGCTGGCACTGTGCATTGGGGCTTCGAACTGGAAAGATCAGGAAGGTCAGCGTCGCTACAGCGAGGGAAGCAGTAGTGCCGCCCGGTTCTGAAAGCTGTCGGCGAAGAGACCCAGGAAGTGGCTGTCGATCTCGTAAGACTCAAGTGAGGCTGCCCGGACTTGCCGCAACCTTTGACCACAGTTCCTGGTGGGCATACAGCTCTTCCACTTCGAACCAGAGCAGATGTGGCCCACACCACAGTCGCAACGCCATTGATGAGTTAGGCGTAGTCTAATGAGCTGGAGAAGATGTCAAAGACCGGAACCAACCGGCAATGAGATCAAGCGGCTTGTTCGGCAGAAAAGGACCACGACTGTAGAAACTCACGGAGCGTCGGCGGCGAGTTCGACTAAGTGTCGATGCAGCAAAGGGCACGGAGTCGATGTGGCAACACGGCGAATTGCAAGAACGTTCGAGGGTTGGGACGCCATATTGGCTTAGTACTAGCGGCTAGGGCTAGAGACGATTTAGACTTGGCTACAGCCAGTTTAGTTTCACTATGCCAAGCTGTTATTGGATTAATTTGTGTGTTCGCAGTGTTTGTTTTTCGCTTTCGATTTTTTCATACTTCGCTCCTCCAGATTTTTGGTGTGATAAAGGGTGTTTGTTTTGCCACACCCCTCTCCAGTTCCTCTGAACCCAGTCCATTGCAAGCGCTCCCGAAATATTGTGACAAAAGAGAGACACTGCTCTTAAAAGTATTTATTTCTTGTTCGATTTTTCGATACTTTGTGACTTCATGTATATTTGTGTGTAGATTTCAAGTGGGCAATTATTTTTGTAGTACTACATAGTTTGCTTCTTATGCAAGTTACCGGAGTGGTGAATATCTGCACCAGTAGGGGGGCCACACTATAACCAAACATCTTCGAAAGGCTGCGTGTGCGCAAAACATGCAAGAGACAGCTGTGCGGTTCTGACTGAGGGCATGCGACTGGAATGTACGTTTGTATCCACTTAAATTCAAAAATGTTGAACAATTAGCGTTCGCAGACCTGCATTGTCCACTGAAGGGACGCGGGGAAAAAATAAATAAAATAAAAATAAAAAGTGTGCTGTAACGGAAATATGTTTAATAACTTTTCAGACATTCTCGTTTATGTCAAATGGCAATCGTAGTTTGCGGGTGTATGGGCGATGTCCAAAACAGTATTGACCGTGAACTGCACACAGGGTTTTAGACACCGGCCCTCATTTTTGTCAAGTGTAAGCCACTTGTTCTAAATGTAACAAGTGCAAAAATGTTGGACTCAGCATCAAACCGCACCTTTGGTATTTGGCGTCCACTACTGACAGGCAGCTAGCATTTGTTAGGCCTAGGTTTGGGTGGCAGTGGTCTAAGCAAGCGTTATGAGACACTTGCTAAGAAACACGGAGATCAGACGTAGAGAGATCGCACGTCACAAGCTAAACCGAGGCCAGCACGCGGGAAACGAAGTTTGTTTGCAGTCGGGAGAACAGCCGCTGCAACTGTTCTGAAAAAGGTCTTCCTAGTTTGGTCAGCCCCGACTGTTGGTGGTCAAAGGCCAAAGGCTCGATCACGTTTCAAAAGCATTGTCATGAGTGCGGGAATCGAACTGGCATGCACGAAATCTGCACTCTACGATGATGCAGCTATTTTCCCGACTGTTAATCGAACAGAAAAATAGCAGTGGATACGGACGCTCGCTTATGGCTAGGCGTGCATGAAAGGTGGCCAAAGCAAGAGCGGCAAAGGAGGCATAGGCTTCCCTGTCACCTATGCAACTACTCCCCCTCTGCCCCCCGCACCTGTGTAGAACTGCTGCACCCCCACCCCCATCATCACCCCCTCTTCTTTCTTCTCTGCCCCCTCGCATCTCGTTCTACATCCCCTCCCTCGTAATGCTGTTGTTGCTTCCTGCTCAGCTGGCACACGTGCGCTGAGAAGAACGCTCGCTTCTTTGAGGATGTTCTGGCAGCCACATAATAACCGGTCTTTTATCTTGGGGGGACTGCACAGTAAGCGGTATGCGTACACTCTCAAACCTCATTAAACAAAGTTGCGTCTTAGAGAAAATTAATTTCATTAAATCTGAAAATTGTTATAAAGAGTATTTATTCGAATGTATCTGTTGCAAGACTTTTTCTATTTACTTTGTTATACCTGATATTTGTTATATCCACATTTGGTTATAGTCAGGTATGAGTGTACATGGAGGCCTGTGGGAGGGCAAATGGGGTAAGAAAAACTGCATTATAGCAGGTCCTACACTGTATCAGTATGGTTTAAAATGGTCTACACTGTATATGCATGGTTTTTTAAATGAGAAATATATCTCATGTGTCTTATGGGAACAAGACTCTCATCAAACGGAGTGCATTACAAAGCAAATCAGCATATCAAAATTTATTATCTGCTATCAGGACTGTGTACTGTGTAATATTTTCTATTTTAACAGCTACACCTTATACTGCAAAAATGTCTGCATATTTAAAATTACCGTACTAATATACATAGACTCAAGACGTTTCATGAAAATAGATCAAGAAATTAAAACAAGTTTTTTCAAGAGCAAATTCGTGTCACAAGACAACTTTGCGGAAACACTTGTAGCAAATGAATGGGTTACTGTGGCTCCTGTCACTATATTTTCTAGTACTTGAAGCGTTTAGACTATTCGTTCAACAGTAAGGGTTACACAGATGAAATGTCACTTTGACGTTAAGACAACAGTCTACGTGGATTGCGCAGGTCCTGTCCAAGCGTCCCACCATCCCGGCCGAGTATGGCAGCCGAGTTCCGACGGCTGTGCGCCAGCGCTACCTCAACCTTTTCCTGGACGAGTGTGCCAAGTGCTGCAGCACCGAAGACGAAGCCATCCAAAAGGTTTGCCATCTCCTGTGCCATTTTCACAGATGCTTTTTCATTGTGCATTGCAATTTAGTAGCCATCGAACTGTGTCTATAGCCACATTGCATCACGTTTTATTCACTGTAAAGGAAGGCGCGAATACTGTTCGACAAAACGTGAGCCATCTGTGTGCATCACTGTGAAGCACTGTCGTTACCGCTTCCTCACTGAAATCCACATAAAACCTGCACCCTGACCTTAGCTTCAAGTTTTCCGTATTCTTTCAGTGGGTAGTGCATGAGAAAATACGGTAGTTTGCTTTTTCTGTACTTTTCTTTCTCTGCCATAAATGTGGGGCAAAGAAGAGTGGGCCACTTGTGGGACATACAGATACAGTACACATCATCGGGTAATGAAGACATACATTTATTAGTTCCTTTTACACACTGGTGCGCCCATTAGCCGGGTCTTACAAATCAAATAACTACAGTAACATGACAAATAATGTCCTTGTATGCAGATATAACACTCACAACAACATAACTCACCAAATGTACCACAAAGCAGCATTGCCGGCATTCGACTCACTGCAGGGGTGTGTGGGACCGAGCCATGGAATCGTTTGATGGAACTCCTGCTAGTTGTCAGCTAGCTCGCCAAGACCCCAAAGAGGATGAGCTGCATTCATCATGACCCTGTGTAACCTCTCTCCCACTGTAGCACCACTGGTGCCATCGCACAAGCGTAGTTTCATTTCTTGCATGATGGCAACTGGGCTAGCTGTTCCACCTACGCTATTGCGCTCATGGGCGCCATGAGGGGAAAACAACCCCCTAGACTATGTGCACTGAAAGTGCTCTCGCCAAAAGTAGTCGAGCCCGTTGACCTGGCTGCATTTTCTGCCATCAGTGGAGCTTGGCTGCTGACCTGAAAGTTGCTGGTTCAGTGCCGAGTGTGGTGGTTGCATTTCAATGGAGGTGAAATGCAAAAGGCCTGTATTCCAGGACGTCAGTGCATGCTAAGGGACATTAGAACGACGAGATTTCTGGAGCCCTCTTATACGATGTCCCTCATAATCGTGTTGTGGGACGTGAAGCCCCAGATATTATTATTTCTGTGATACCGTGCTGCATGTACATGTAACGCGTGGTTCCTATTGCAGGCGTTGTCCGAGGAGAAGCAGACCTACGAGCGGAGCTCAGGCAAGACCGTCTACCTGAATGTGGCCGTGAACACGCTCAAGCGACTGCGCCGAGAGTCGGCCCAAGACGGGGGCGCGTCCTCTGCTGGCTCTAGCTCCTCTGGTGCTGGCACCTCTGCTCCCGCGGCAGCGCCCGTCCAGCCCACCAACCGGGTGGTCTCGCACGAGATGGTGCTGCAGGGTGCCCGAGCGGCACGCACAAGCTTCAGCATTGAGAAGAACCGCTATCGCAAGCCACCTCCGGAACTGACGGGTGAGCAGACCACTTCGCATAGCCTCCCCTATGAAGTCGTCTTTTGGAGTAACAGTGTACCCAGTGGCTTCTAACATGTTGCAGCAGACTCCCAGTAAAGGGAAATTTTTAAGTGGGACTGCTGCCTAAATGGAGCAACTGGCTCTGATATGACTGGTTTCGCATATGTACCACCCCCCCACCTTCCTCATTGAAAAAAAAAATTAAAAAAAAGTATTTTTTAAATGTATCTGTTCATTTTATTTCGGTGTGACAACCAGTGCTGTTGATGATCGAAACAACAATAAATCAAGCCATTATATCACAAAATAATGATGCACTAAAAGTCAAAGCATAGTTTTGCAACCATGCTAAATGGTTGTGAGCATCGTGAACGCGAACTACATCAATCAAAGTTTAAAAGTCGCGTCTTTCGCGGCAAAGTGCCATCTGTTGAATGCAGGAGAAATCTTACAGTGCCAATCAAGCACAGCGGCCTGAGAACAGTGCAACAAAACAAATGCATGGCCTCTGAGATGGCGGGCACGCAACGTAAAAACTCTCCACGTACCCGTCAACTCGGAGGCCATGCAAAGTGCTCATCGCCCCGACAGCACGTAGCCTGCGAAGTTTGTGCGCCAGCATCCGGCACTGCATTTTTGTTGTCGGGTTTGTCGAAGTGAGCTTAGTTGAGGACACCTGCTGCGCAGGGAGCGTATGGCCGGTATGCTAGCTACACAGCTGGTTTTAAACTTACCGGTCACTTCGTCATTTTTTTGAAAAGCCGGCACGCTGTGTTACCCGTAGAGTCATGCTATAACATATCCCATCGCGAGCAGACAAAACGCGTGGTCAGCTTTCATGGAAGTTGGTCGAACATGCACTGGAGCATGGGAACTGAGCGGCTGGACGACACTTTGGCATCGATCCGTGCACGTTCTTTATGAAAGAAAGTGAGAGCTTCGGGCTACAAAAAGATTCGTCACGCATTTTGCAGCCCAAGACGAGCAAAGTAGTCATGCAAAATTTTTGCTGGTATAACTCCTGTGACTTTTTTCTCCCGCATGATGAACCCTACCCCCAAATTGGCAACAACACTTTTGAAAAAAAAAAAAAAAAAAAATGGGTTCGTTACGCAAGTAAATATGGTACTTTGGACCCTTCGTCTCTAAAAAAATGCAACTTTTTGTTAAATGGAACATATTTTTTTGTCCCTTCAAGTTTCACTTAATGAGAATCTACTGTGATTTGAACATTCCTAATATTTGGGCCTGTTTATGATTACTATGCTGAAGCTAAAATTTTCTGACATTTCAAGTTTTTTTTTTACTAAATAGCAGCATAAAACTGATTCCAAAAGGTGACAAGTTGTTTTTCAACTGGCTTTCTTGAGCCAGTTTTTATGGAACAGCCTAATATTTCGGTCATGCACCTTCTCCAGTCTCTGCAGTAGAGAAACAACACCATGCAATCGTTACACCTGAAAGGTGGAGTACTGTTAATAAAATGCTTCATCAACAAACACTGGTAGTTCCCTCCGCCTGTGCTGCGGGTAACCGAAGCGTCACTTCAATGGATACTTCAGGCACTTCAGTGGATACTTCGCTGACACTAATAAAGGCACTTTGGCAATGTACTAAGTTTAACGTCGGCAAAGCTACTAAAGGCACTTAAGGGATTCTACAAAATGGGATTTCGCTTAAACCTCTTAATGGCACTTAGTTGATGATGTCAAAGGACATTTCTGTGATGATATTGAAGAGCTTTTTGGTTAAGTTACCAGAGGGTACTTTGGCGATGCTACTCAAGGAATTTCTGTGTAGCTGCTAAAGAGCTTTTTGGTTAGGCCACTCGAGCACTTTGGGGACAGTATTTCAAGGCACTTTCGCGATGCTAGTGAGGGCACTACGGTGATGTAGCTACAGATGGCTACTTGCACTCGGGGGTTGAATGCAGAGAAACGTTTGTATGAGCTGTTGGAGGTGTACCGGATGACCCCAGAGCAGCTTGCGGAGTACAACTACCCGCGACCGCATCCAGCGGAGCCAGGGCGTGCAGTGTTCGCCGGAACTGATGGCCGTCAGTACTCAAAATCAAATGGTGAGTTGGCAACTGTGGCTGCATGCATCCTTCTCTCTTTGCTCATGCTGTTCAGAGTGATTTTCAGCTACGTATCGTTCATTATCGTTCTGAGAAGTTCAGTATGATAATAAATGTTGCTCTATGGCAGAGCAAGCCCTGTGTTTGGTTGCACATACTAGGTGAGCGCTGATTATAGGCCATTGATCTATATTTTAGCATGTAAATATTACTGAGTCAAATGGGTTCAGCTATGTTCAGCTGAAAAAAAAAAGCGAATTGTTACCATTACAGTTAAACCTGCTTATAACGAACCTCCATATAACGAATTCCTCGATATAACTAAGTTTTTCAATTCCATGCTGTCGCTTCATAAAAGCACATGTATTTGCGACCTCTATGTAACAAAATAATAGTGGGAGACAACCTAGATATAACGAATTTTCTCCACGGACAATCAAGGAATTTCGCTCCGCATTTTGGCACTTTGGTACGAGCATGCACCTTCCATGACTGCCCTGCCGCCAACAAAGCGCGAAGTGGCGGCGGCGGGCACCCGGGCTGCGTCCGGCAGGCAGACCAGCCTGCGCCCCACGAGCCAGCTTTGTCGCTGTTTTCGCCGCCACGCTCTCATGCGCGGGTGTGCCCCCCCCCCCCCCTCTTCTAACCAACACAAAAAAAAAACTACTTTTGCTCATTGGCAGTGCCACGCTTTTAGTTCGTCACATATATGGGGCCGCACTGCATATGGAGGGCACTTTACCGGTTAGTTTTCCGTGGTATCCGTGTCTGTGTCGTTCGCTCTTCGTTTGCGACGCCGTGCGCGCGCACATAGCTTCACTGCGTGCGCATGGTGTGTCCCCCGACAAGGTTCAGCTTTGCTTTTTTTTTTTTTGTTGCCATAGCAATTATGTATATCGACAGTCTTGGCTGGTATTTTGCCTCCACCGCCGTCATTCACGTATCTATATTTATGAAAACTCAAGAAAGGGAAAAAAAAAAGAAAAAAAAAAGCCGCCCGAGCTTGGCGCCCAGATTGTCACAATGCGCCAACGTGTGCTTATCTCTCACGTGTACTTTCCCTGCGAATGGGGAGGGTGGTTAGGTGCTTGTGCGCACGCACTTATCCTTTGGTGGGGAGAATCACATGCCTTCGTCTTTGACCGGGGAACAATTGAGTTTAGTTGCCGGGCACACCAGGATCACTTCGCTCGCTGGACAGGCGCCGTTTGCGAAAAGAGTCCGCGTTTTAAACACACCGAAGTAACAACTGGTTCACTTGTTAGTTCGCACTCATATCTGTACCTGTGATTTCGTTTCGTGCCTCGTTTTTGTTTAAACAGCATGTTAAGCGTCGAGCACTAAATGTTGTTAGTTTCATCTCGTCCTGTGTATGTTCTTTTCTTGCGTCATTTGTGCGTGAGCAGCGCGCTGTCCGTTTCGATCTGCTTGCTGTTCTCAGCGCTACATTCCAAGAATTGTTGCTATCGCATTCATTGCTTCGCCCTTGCGGTGAAACTCTGACACTTCTTTAAAATTTTCGACAATTGTGTCTTCACTATCTAGGGGACGTCAGATTAGGCGCTGATGGAAACTCTCCGAAACTAGGGTGATGACGAATCTTCGGAGGTAGACTCGTAGCGCACTTTCGTTTTGCGCCGCACCGCGAGTTCGCCGGCTGGTAGCTTTCACGATTAGTCGATTAGTTCTGACAACATGACGCTGCGTTGAACGCAATGCAGTGAATGCGATAGTGAAATTGTAATGTTATAAAAAGTAAGGCTTGCAGCCAACTTAACTCTTTTGGATCCGATATCGCGGAACTCCTACGAAATGCTAGTGTGAGCAAATACGGCTCTCCTAGGAGAAGTGCTCTTTTCACAGACCCTTCGCGTTGAAACAGCACTGATACTCGCCGAGATAGGAAGCGCTCTAGCGATCAAGAATGCCCTTGAACTCATTCATTATTGCTGCTCGAGCGATTCCTCTTTTCCCCCTCCCCAGGTTGTTTCATGCTCGTTCAAGACGGGTGGTTTACTTTCTGTATGAATATTCAACTGCAGTTATAACACGCGGGAGATGTTATGCACTTTCCAGGCGATAGGGATGGGCCGACTCAGTTTATCTCTGCTTCAGCAGCGCTCTCGCGCTTTTACCCGCTCGTGAAAGTTAAGATGCGCGGGGCATGTTATGAATTTGCACTTGTTACGGAACATGGCGGCAACGGCAAAAACCTGCCGATAGTGTCCATATAATGGCTATCACGATAATAATGAAGTTTCTTACTGTAAAATAAGTGTTTTGGGTTAGCTCTGCCTTCAGCCCCCCTTTTGTTTAATTTGCACTTTTATTTTCTCAATTTTCGTACCGAACCTGCATATAATGAAATCCTATTTATAACGATTTTTTCTGGGAATTTATCAATTTATTTATACCCAGGTTTAACTGTACATGCCGAATACTATTCTGAAGATGGCCAACCAAATATTCCCTTGAAGCTCCATTCTTTTCCCTAAGAACGCCCACTTTTCGTATCAGGAATCGTACTTGCATAATCCTTTTGGGTTGTATCTGCTCTCATTTAGAATGTAAAGTCTTACAGGGGGGCTCACTCTATTGGCAGTATATGAAATTAGGCTCTGGAATGATGTTTTACGACAGTGTGATCATTTGCTATGGGTGTGAACTCTGGAGGGGCCAAGGGACCCTCTCATAATTTGAGGGGCAGGGGAGCTAATATTTGACATTAATTTTATTTAGGTGGAAGCCATGTCCTGTCTTTTCTGTTCTTTAGTTCATGTTTGTTAACTCAGTTAAAGGGGGACGCGCCCTTTGAAAACCGAAAAATCGCGAAAAAGTCGATTTTTGAAAACCACATACTCGGGCAGTATGACTCATAAACTGCTCTACTGTAAATATCGATGTCTAATTCATCGCGAAAGTACGTCAAATAAATTTATAACATGCCGCGGCAGCCGGCAAGCGGTGAGCGAGCGCCAAAATACCCCAACTTCGCGCGCTCGCCATTTCCCAACCGCTCGGCCGATCGCCACCATCTTGATGTTGTTTTGCTCGTGAATTCTTGCTTTTTTTTTTCGCCCCGCGGCAGTGGCGGTGGCGCTCCGAGGCGGGAGTCGCTCACGATTGGGGGGCTCGCGGAAGCTTTCGAATGTCCGCTGCCTGGATGCGAAGCCGCGATTGGACAAAGCGCCCGCCTCTCGAGGGAGTGGGGGAACGCGCGGCTCGTATTGGCTGCTGCGCGCGATGACGTAGCTGCTTCTCGGCATGCGCCGGCTCGTCGTCTGCACCGGCGCTTGCAATGCCGGTTCTTTGTGTGCCCGTTTGCCATCATTCCGATCGGTCGTCACACGTGCTCCTCTATCTTTCACCGTCTTCACGAGACGATCTTCTACCGTCCTCACGAGACGATCTTCCGCCGTGTTCACGGGACGTGGATTGTTGCGCTGACGGTCACGATGGGCATTCGAAGTTCAAGACTCGGCACGCGTTCGGTTCAAGAAAGCGTCAGCTGAAGCTCGTACGCATGGCGAAGCTCACCTGCACGCCCACGCGCGGCGACAGTTGCACCGATGCTTCCGCTTCATCTTTTCAAGACGATTGCGTCGACGCTTCTAGCGACGAGACTTCTACACCATCGGCACAAGGATCCGTCGTGACGAGTGAGGCTGGTGTTTCGTGCTCAAGTGCGCCTGGTGTGTCGCGCTCGCCAACCCCATTGATTCCGGCCCCGAACAGTGAGACCGCGTCGTTGACTGTGCACTTCCAAACACGTTTTGGGGGCAGTATATGGAAATTAGGCTCTGGAATGATGTTTTACGACAGTGGATCATTTGCTATGGGTGTGAACTCTGGAGGGGCCAAGGGACCCTCTCATAATTTGAGGGGCAGGGGAGCTAATATTTGACATTAATTTTATTTAGGTGGAAGCCATGTCCTGTCTTTTCTGTTCTTTAGTTCATGTTTGTTAACTCAATTAAAGAGCCTTTGTGGTAAGGCCTTACATGCCTCATCAAGTGCCGAGTAAGTGTGGTAAGCGAAGAGGAGACCTGGACCTGCACGTCTGGCTACGTCGAAGGTAGCAGAACAACTGAGCGAGCCAGTACCCTTTCTTGCTTCTTTATTTCAAACATGTGAAACAAAAACTTTTAGGGTGACACTACACGATTGGCATTACGCTGATATCATTACGATGTCACGGGTCAGAAAAATTCTACAGCCTGATGTCACTGACTGCACGACAACGTCTCTCTGAGTCAAAGGGGCAGCCGACAGAGGAGGAAGAGAATAACGTTTACGCTAGGTGTGTAAATCTTAAGAAACAGCGTAGCTTGCTGATCTGAGGGGACGCTGAAGTGAAAGAATGTATTGGTTTAGCTCGATAAAGTATAAGCTGAGAACTTTAATGTTGTTAGTATTACCATCATAACTTAATTATTAGAGAAGAAAATCAAGGCAAAAGTACCATTTTAAAATTTCGTGCTGAAATCCACGCAGTGACGTCACAAATTGTGAAGTGTATTTGTCGTATTTCGCTGACATGAAATTTTGCTGAAACTTGGTACGTTATGTCTGTGGCCCCATTAGCACACATTGTGCTCCATTTTTACCTATAGGAGCAACGTATAGGCCTTAGTGAACACCGTCAAAATTTATGATGTCGCAGTGTTTAGTTCGAATTGTCACCGCCGATATTTTCTTTTTGAGCATCTTCTAGCCTACCAGGCGCCTTCTCGCAGCGAGCGCGGTGATTTTGGAACTGCAAAAGGGCAATTCAACGAATAACAGAAAAACCGTTTTCCTTCTTAGTGGCTGTTTCTTTCACGCGGCCTTTGCACAGACAGAATACTTGAACCACTGCCTGCCACAGACCTTGCCAGAGTGTCCACACACTACTGCCAGAAAACTAACAAGCACACCTGGCTGTGGCACTCCCTGCAGAAGCGCAGGCCTTTTGTCCCTTCCACTTGACCCTCACCACACTGTGCAAACTGGGCGTGGCGGCTGCTTGGATAGCTGGTGGGCGTGGCTTGCCCGCTCTTTGGCACATGCATGGCTAGACGAGGTTAAACCCAGGTGTTGCGTATCTGTGACTTGGTTATTTCTAGGCAATGATGCAGAGATTTTTTTGCGTACAGTGAATGTTTTAAATTGAGCTTTACATAGTAAATTTGATAAGTATGTTCAATTCTTCAATTTATTTTTTTTCTGCAATCCTATAATCATGTTTTACATCCTGGTGAAACATTGGACCCAAATAACTAGTATAAGTCGAGAAGAAAGTATTTTACTGATGGGCTGTCATGTACGGCTATAAGAAAATTGGACTTCACAAAATGCAAATCTGCTGCTTTCCCTTGGCACAGTGCCACCATATTGGCACCATCATAAAGAAGATAGATCAGAGCTCAAGATAGCCACAAAGCTGCATTTCTCTAATGAAAAATGAAGCCAGCTCGCATTCGAGCTTTATTTTCTTGGTTTCTAGCTCCACTTTCTTTGAGCTCCATCTTCTCAGCTTTAATTTTTTGAGCAGCTGTTGTAAATCATCTGTGTGCCACTTCCCAACAAATGAAGCATAGCCATTCCGTTTTCTTCGCTTAGGTCCTGAGAGACTATTGGTAAGTGCTGTAAAGCTGTCTATATTTGTCTGCACATCAAACATATCTTTATAACTGGCTTTTTGTAAAACTTGTTAGTAAGACAACATGCCCAGCACATTAAAAATATTCGTGTGGGCTTAATTTAATATTAGAAAGTAAACCTATAGCAATATGGCACAGAATGGGCTCTTGTAAATATCCTTATGCAGATATATTTACTAACTTGTGTCCAATTATTTCATTAATTTTTTGGGATGACAATGAGAGTCTATCAAGTGCTGTAACTCAAGAACTACATTGGACAGCTGAAAACCTATTTTAGTTATGATATCAGCATAGTAAATTACATCTGCATGACAAATTTAATAACTTTATGTCCATAAATAACAATAATAGTTTCCATTGCCACATCCAAGAAGATAATGGCTTTCACTTTCTAGTGGCTTTATTCAAACGCACAAGGGACTGTGTGACCTATTAGGGGCGAAGCTCCTAAAGCCGTGCGTTTGTTAATGCATGTCTGTGACCGGTTCATAACCACCTAGTTGTACGACTCACTCAGCAGGTGGTGCTAGTGTGAGTGACAGACAGACAGATGGGTGGACGGGCAGATAGGCAGACAGGCAGACGGACACACGTACAGACAGACAGACAGAAAGATAGACGGATGGGCGGACAGACAGACGAACGGATGCACGCACGGATGGAAGCAAGAACGAACGGATAGACGAACGCACGGACAGAAGCACAGATGGACAGACGCTTCGCACCACTCATCATCATTGACTCCGCGCATATGCTGTGATTTTTCGTAAGCAGCACACATGCACCTTGAATTTATTTTATATCAGTTTGTACGGCAAGTAGGCAATCTCTTGTTCTTTGTGATGTATGCCAAAGGAGGGGCATTTCCGTGGAGGTGAAATGTTGGAGGCCTGTGTGCTGAGCAATGTTGGTGCCTGCTATAGAACACCAAATGGTAAAAATTTTTGCTGCAGCCCTCTCCTACGATGCCTCTCATAGTCATGATTGTGGAACGTAATACTCCAGATATTAATTCTGGGGTGTGAAGGAAGGGGTAAGGGCTGTCAAGCCATGGTTTGTTTCCCCCCTCTTCTGATCTCGATGCATGCCTATGCCATTGGCCTTTGATTTACACTCACGATTAATTCGTTGCAGTGGATGACTCATTTGCCATGTGCAGTTACCAATAGCCTGCAGTTGAGTGCATTCCTTTCTGAAATTGTTCCCATGTTTGCCTGTATGCAGGTTCGGTGCTCCGATGCAGCCGGTGCGGTGCCACTTTCTCGCTGACGGAAGACGGCGACTATGTGCGCCCCGAAGAGTGTGTCCACCACTGGGGTCGCCTCTGGAAGAAGCGGAGTGAGTGTCATTGACCCTGAAGTTCTTATTCTGGCTACGTTGCACTTCAGGGGTCTGACTGCTAAACTGGCTTGCTGCGTCTGTGCATTGCATTGTGTTAGTGCAAGTAGGAGCTGCCTAACCTGATGGATAGTTGCTGCTGCCTAAGATTTAGTAGAACAATGCAGTCAAGCTAATAGAAACATTTGGCAGGTTACAGAAATGCAGTACGCAAGTACGATAAAACAGTATACCGTATTTTTGTGCGTATAATCCGCCCCTGCATATAATCGGCACCACCACTTTCAGCTCACCGAGAAAGAAAAAAAAAAAATCCTAGCGTATTGCCCGCACATTTGATATACAGGAAAGGCTGTACAAAAGCTACTGCTCAAGCAACATAGCACATATGTAGACGAAAAACCTTATTTAGCAAGCAGAATACGCTGTCTGCAAGGCCAGTCACAATTCACTCACTGTCGCTGCTCTCGCTAGAGCTATCACTTGAGCCGCAGAGTCCTCACTATTATGCACAGGTCATCTTCGGTTCCATCCATGTTGTTTGTGATGCAGCATTTCTTGAAACTTTTTCGCACCATCTCACCTGGAATGGCCTTCCATGCCTCGACAAACACTTGCAGAATAGGGCAATATCAGGCCTTCGGGCTCGTCCTGTCGGCAGTCGTAGCAGCCTTCGGCCATCCACGTCGGCCATCCACTCGGCGTAATAGCGCTTGGCATGCGCTTTGAAGGGCTTGTTAAGCGACACATCTAGAGGCTGCAACATTGACGTCATTTCACCAGGTATAACAACTAAGTCAGTGCCGTTGCGTGAAAGGCGGTCCTTCACTTCCTCAGTTGTGTGGCCGCGGAACGAGTCAAGAACGAGCATGGACCTCTTTTGCGAGCATCGCAGCGGGCATCTTCTTTCCATACCGTCTTGATCCAGTCTACGAACAAGTCACTGTTTGTCCACGCGTTCTTGTGTGCGCGCACCACCACACCGGTAGGCAAATGAACCTTTGGTAGAGTTTTCTTTTCAAGATGACGTACGGTCGCAGTTGCGTGCCGTCGGCGAGGGCACAAAGCAAGACTGTGATGCGCAGTTTCGTGTTCCCGCCGGTCAGCACGCTCACCGAACTGCTGTCCGTCTTCTCAATCGTTGTGTCCAACAGCATTTCAAAATAAACAGGAGTTTCATCCGCATTGCCGATTTGCGAGAAAATGTAATTGTGCTGCTTTCGCAGGCCAATTACATAGTAAAACGCGCTAGCGAAGATTCGACGAAGAGGAGGACGAGACTCGACTGGCTCGCGAGCGACGCTGTGGATCCTTCGCTGAGCTACACCTCTGCATTACCCATCTTGTAAATAAACGCGTTCTGGCTCACGAGCGACGCTGTGGATCCTTCGCTGAGCTACACCTCTGCATTACCCATCTGTAAATAAACGCGTTCCATCGTCACAATGTTTATTTACAAGATGGGTAATGCAGAGGTGTAGCTCAGCGAAGGATCCACAGCGTGGCTCGCGAGCCAGTCGAGTCTCGTCCTCCTCTTCGTCGAATCTTCGCTAGCGCGTCTCAATATCTCTAGTACTTGAGCAGCTTCTCATAAGAAGTCGGCAAGCATTGACATATTGTAGTCCGCCGTCTGATTGAGAGCCCTTGCCGCTTCATGAAGCGGTGCAGCCATCCGCGGCTCGCACGGAACTCGTGAGTAAGCCTAGCTCTCTCGAAAGTCACCGCGCTTCCACTTGGGCCATTTCGGCGATACGGCGTGACCTTGCTTCTGACATCTTCGATGAACTTACTAGCTCCGCCTCCAGCTCAGGGTAGCACCGGTCTTGGGGCCACGAAATGACCTACGGTCGCGGGTGCGCAGCTTGTAGGCTCTCTTTCTTCTTTCTCCACAGTCGCACGCAGAACTCGTCCACATCGTGCCGTCTTCCCGCTTCGCGATTTCCAAATTCCTCGGCGACAAGCGATGATCTTAAGCTTTTCCTGTGCCGTGAAGGCCTGCCGCCGTACACTACTCATGTGACAGAACAGATCGACTTAGGCTTGGCGAACGGGTCGAGATGTGGAGAACTAGCGGTATCAGCAAGGTAAAGAGCGCTCACACTCGGCGACAACTTGACAGCACTACCCATTCTAGTACACTGGTAACAGCACCCTGGAAACAACAGAACCGAAATGCATGCCTGCTACCGCGTCAAAAGTTGTACATTAATTTACTGATAATATCTCTATAGGCACTATAATATCTCATTTGCCTTGCTGAAATAAATACTGCTTTATTTATTATGGAACTTATCTTAATTATTATGAAACTTTCTTAGACAGCACCACCTTTTCGGCAAGCCCTTTCCAAAAGTAAACATGGCGTCCGTGACGTAGGGACATGTGGAGGGTCACCGAGCGGCCGCAAACGTCCAAAAATATATACTTCTGGTGTGACAGTGAGATTTTACTCTGAACAATCGAATTGTCTCTCTCCAAATGTTTTTCTAAACGCTTCAACGATGCAAACAAGCGAAACCAAAATCGGCCGCAAGCTGCCGTGCTACTTGCGGAGCAACACGAATTTGCGGAAACTGCCTCCGTAGCCTTCGCTACACTGTTAAGGGGCTTCACAACACAACACGCATTGCTGTGAAGCAGCACTATAGGAAAAATCCTGCGTATTATTTGCACCTCCACTTTGCCACTGAAATTTTTGGGTTTTTTGTCAGGGTTATACGCGCGCCCCGCCGCGGTGGTCTAGTGGCTAAGGTACTCGGCTGCTGACTCGCAGGGCGCGGGTTCGAATCCCGGCTGCGGCGGCTGCATTTCCGATGGAGGCGGAAATGTTGTAGGCCCGTGTGCTCAGATTTGGGTGCACGTTAAAGAACCCCAGGTGGTCTAAATTTCCGGAGCCCTCCACTACGGCGTCTCTCATAATCATATAGTGGTTTTGGGACGGTAAACCCCACATATCAATCAATCAATCAGGGTTATACGCGCAAAATACAATAGTAGCGCTTCTCCTTTCCTTCTCGTGTGCTTTCCGCTCCCAATTGCAGTGATAGTGCGTCTTCCAAGGGACACATTCTCGTTAACAAAGCATAGGCTGAGGGGCTACAATGAGGCGTGACATCGCCACAGTAACTTTTGAAAAAAGATTTTGTGCTCTTTGGGTGCCTTCACTGGAAAAAGGTCTACGACCCTGAAAGTTATGCCGTACTCTCATACGGTGTCTTATTTGCATACTGTATTTTTATAACTTACTAAAGGCTCTAAAGTAGCGCACAACTGAAAGAAGGGAAACTGTGTCATAGTGTCCATCTCTTGTTAGGTGCTACACATTGAAGTCAACAGACAGTTAGGCAAAGGAAAGTATAGAAGGCATTGTTTTCAGATAGTAAGTGAACCAGAGAAATTGTAAAATTGAGGGAAAAAAAAGTGGGTGAAAAGACAACTTTTTGTTGGTAGTGGTGGGGGGGGGGGGGGGTGGCACGCTACAATTTGCACTGCTACGCCGACACTACTGCTGGTCCATTGTATTGGCTGGTTCTGCGTGTATAACCCTGGGGTGGTAGCAGATGTGTAACGACCCTTTTGCCAGTCAGCATTCTCACGTGTGGCGTGTTTTGATGTGATAGAAGTTTCACGTGGTGCAGTTTCGTGCAACACATTTTCATGTGACACTGGCTCCTCGTTCGCAGTTGCGGGAGCCCTGGAGAGTCGCTACAGCTGTTGTGAGGGTGACGGGGAGTCGGACGGTTGCTGTGTTGCCAAGGTGAGTTCTGTTGTGCGCCGACACCCCTCACCATCTTTCCACATCCAAAGAAACCTCACCAGCTTTAAGATTCCACGCTACTGAGCACGTGAAACACTCAGAAAGAATTTTAAACTTCGAGTAATCTTTCATTCAAAACAGTGGTCATCTGGCTCTCTCCAAATTCCGTTTTTGAAAACTTGGGGCTCATCACTTTCTCATAATTAAGAATGCTTTGGCACACTCATGGGGTGCATGGCATGCTCATGGGATTTTTTTCTTTGTCAGACACAATACCAGTAAGAAGTAACAAACAATAAGGCAAAGGAAAGTGAAGAGGACATTATTTGTGCGTAATTATGATATAAACACGAAAAAAGTAAGGTGAATCAAAAGACAATGTGCTGCTGGCAGGGACCGAACCTGCAACTTTTGGAAGGTTGCAGGTTCTGTTTGATAAATGTGAAGAAAGTGAAGTGGATGAAAGGACAACTTATCACTGCTGGCAACCAACCCTGCAAGTTTGCAGGCTCAGTTTTCGCGGGCGGAAAGTTGTCTTTCCTTCCATACGAGCACTGTCCTAATTGCATCATCGTCTCAACATTGCATATGCAGTGAAACCTCGTTAAGGGTGGACGCGGGTCTTAGAAAAGTAAAAAAATGGCCAAAAAATCGATTTTGAGAAAAACGCATTTTTCGAATCTTTGAACCTATAAGCACCTCTCCTCAAATTATTAACGCTAAATACGATAAAAAATAGGTTAAAATCTATTTTCAAACCATCACGGGAGTCGCAAAACAGAAAATTTGTTCGAACTTCCCGCGCGCGCCGCCAGCGAAGCAGCCGGCGGATCGGCGCCATCTTAGGCTTGTTTTGAAGCTGGTTCCTTTGTGCGCGTTTTGCGGGCTCTCAAATGGCGTAGCTCCAACACAACGACTGCCCTCCCCCGTTTTGCGAAGCCGTCTGCCGGACCGCTGATTGGCTAGAGCGCGCGCGCCGGCGAGCCCCCCGTCTCGCGCTTACCATTGGCTAGCGCGGCCACGGTTGCTCGCTCTTTTTTTTTGTTTGTTTGTTTGGTTTTGCTCCGTCGGCGCCTGCTCTCGTGCGTGTTATCTCGTCTGCTACCCGCTCGTGTACCGACGTCGTCGACGTATACGTCTTTCTGCATTTCGCCGGCATGGCTTGGGAAGCTCGCCTGAAGAAGAACACTCGTCAAGCTTTCGGCAGAACGCCGGAGATGGCCGAGGCAGCGCATTCTGACGACAACGGGCTGTCGGAAATGCCTGTTATTGCGGAGGCAGCACATTCAGACGACGACTCGCTGGCGCAAGTGCCTGTTATTGCCGAGGCAGCACATTCAGACGACGATTCGCTGGCGCGAATGCCTGCCGAAGCGGTGCACTCTATTCGGCCCAGCTGCAGCACTTCGTCGGATCATCACGTCAGCGAATCGTCATCCGGCACTACTGGAACCATTCAAGGTCGTGTCGACACGACGTTTTACTCTGCGGACGAGTTCGCCGATTGCTCCATACGTGCGGCTAATTTAAAGAGTCCCTGGCATCGCAGTGCGCGACAGCACGAAAGTTTGAGCTGCTGGACGTTCAGCTGGAGGGCGACGACAAAGAAAACGGCACGCAATTTGCCATTGTTGATATAGAAGCGATAGACTCGCTATTTGGACTTCTCCCCTGCCCCGAGTGCGGCTCAAAAAGTATGACTTCTCCAAGGGAAAAAGAGACTATGGGCTGTGCTCAAAACTCGTGCTCGCATGCAGCAGTTGCGACTTTCGCGAAGAACGGTTTTCTTCACCGAGAGTTGCCGAAAATAGCCAGGCCAAGTAAGGCCTTTTGAAGTGAATTTGCGTGCCATGAAAGCGATGAATACTATCGGCAAAGGGGCAACAGCTCTGACGGACTTTTTTGCCGCGATGAATATTTCGCATCGAGGGCTTCACCAGAAAACATATCAAAGCCACATGAAAATCATGCGGGAAGCCTGCGGTGCGACTGCTGCCGAATGCGAATCCACTAGCGTTGCCCGCGTCAAAGAACTCTATGCGGAGTTTGGCAATCCACCGGGCAACGTCGACGTCATTTATGATGGCACGTGGCTTACCCGTGGACACAGCTCCCATATCTGTGTTGGTTGTATAATTGAAATGTACACTGGTTTAGTTATTGATCACGTTATACTTTCAAACTTTTGCCTGGGCTGCGCCACTGGACCAAAGGAAGATGAGGAGGGACACGCTGCTTGGTTCGTCCAGCACGCCCCTGTGTGCCAGAAAAATGTTGACTGCAAGGCTGGCCAGATGGAAGTAGAAGCAGCCCTACGCCTCTTCCGACGCTCCTTAGAAAAGCATAAGCTTCGGTACACAACAATGCTTTCAGATGGTGATAGCCGAACCTTTCATGCCCTCACTGAAGATGAAGTTTACGGATACATAAAAGTTGAAAAAAAAGACTGCATCAACCATGTGCACAAACGAATGGGGGCTGCCTTACGAACGCTCATCGAAAAGAAAAAGCTCAAGGTGAGTCACTTGGCGGAAAAGGTAGGCTCACTCAAGACAAAATAAAGAAAATTACCTCTTACTATGGCTATGCCTTGAGGAGCCACAAGAGTGATGTGCCAGGCATGAAAAAGGCTGTGCTGGCCACACTAAGGCACATGTCATCAACAGACGAGGCACCCAAACATCACCTCTGCCCTGAGGGAACAGATTCATGGTGCAAGTTCAACAGGGCCATAGCCAATAGTGAGGTGCCTCCACCGCACAAGAACAGCCTGCCCGATTTCGTCTGTGAGGCACTAGAGCCTGTGTTTATGAGGCTTAGCGACAAAGCATTGTTAGAAAGGTGCAGTGATGGGATCACCCAGAATCCTAGTGAGAGCTTACACGCTACAATTTGGCAACAAGTCCCCAAGACCACCCATGCCTCACTGCGCAGCGTAGAAAGAGCAGTGGCTGAAGCCATCAGCCGCTTTAATCAGGGGGCCACGAAGAGCAATGAAGCAATTGCTGAGAAGCTAGGCTACAGTGCAGGAAATCTCTTCATGCGTCGTAGCCTTGAAAAGGATAAAACCAGGCTTCACAAATCGCGGAGGGAGCACCTGCAGAGCAGTTCAACAAAGGCAACACTTGCAAAGCGACATAAGCCTGCAAGAGACACTGCATACAGCCCTGGCATGCTGTAGAATTGTAGGGATGTCTGGGACAAAAATGTGTGTTTTACTTGAAATAGTGTTTTATGTATAAAAGGGCGATGTTTTTATATATAACATGTGTCTTCCTTTGGTTTTCAGTGCACTAGAACAGCCACAAAGTTGTAGACTAGGTTCCTTATACTGATTCAACGGCCAGTACACAGTTTTTAAATGAGCTGTGGCAAATATTTTGGGAAGGTGCATTGACACATTTGGTATAGCCATACTCACATAATGTAGAGCTATACAACGGTGCCATTTTTATTGCTCTAGCTTCACTTTAGCAAAAGTTACAGTTATTAGAAACTTTAAATGCGTTTTTCTCAGTTCGATGTTTTTGTGCACCACACTAAACCTTAGGGGTTTTTCTTATATGTTACTGTTGATTGAGAATGGCAAACTTGGTATCATTTTATTTGTAATAACATTACCTATGGGGTGATGCTATTTTCATTACTCTAGAAGCATACTGTTAATTACAATTATGGATAGTAATGAGCGAAAATTGAACAGAATATCCATTGTAAATGCTGGTCTGTTTTCTTATCTATATAATGCCTAAAAATTAATAAAAATAGCATCACCCCATACAGAAAGCCCTCAGCATTGGGGCTATGCATTTATTTTTTGGATCTGGCTTGATTAAGTTGCCAAAAAGCCCCCAATGAAGTGCATAATTAATTAAATTACAGATGTAAATATCTTTTTATCCACTGAAGCTATTTCAGAAACAATTACATATTTGAAATCAGCATGAAAAACTGTCCAAGATGGTGAGGTTTGGTCAAGATTGAGCCAAAAACGGAAAAAAAAATTTTAAAGACCCATGTCCCCCCTTAAACCGTAGTTGGCCGGAGCTCGGAAAAAGTACGTACTAAACGGTAGTACTGCTTAACCAAAATAGAGTCAGGTCGCTCACTTACCTGTCAAAAAAAAAAACCTTCAGGGAGTGCAATGAAGGAACAAAAAACGTCCAGTAATTTATTAACTTCGCGTGACAAAGTCTGTAATCTTCATTTGACGACGCGGCGGCCTAGCAGCAACGACAGTGGCCTCAAACTCTCTTATGCTGTGAGCCAGCTTTTTCGCCAGCCCCCTCTTCTCAGCAAATACCCGCATGATGCTGACGCAATGCGCAGCTTTGGCCACTGTTGGACCTGGATCACCCGTGTTGTCGCTTTCCATGTCGTCCTCATTACTATCATTTGGCGACACTTCGACAACCGAGGCAACAATGGCTTCGTCGGACATGTCCGGAGATGTCTGCACATCGCTGTCTGCGTCTCTGAAGTCGGGGAAAGAAATGCCTTCCGTAACGCCCTGCTGCTCCAGCACTTCAGCTAGCAGAGTTTTGAAAGCTTCATCTACGATGTCCGAAGTCTGGTCGATGGTGTCACTGCCGTCATCTGCGTCGCCCGAACACACACTGAAGCCAGCACGCTTGAAGCAATTTTGAAATGTCGTTGCTTCAACCTGCCGCCACGAGTATTCGAGCAGATGAATCGCGCCAATCAGGTCGATGGAGAATAATTTGCCACATTCAATGGCGAGAAGAAATCTGCGCAGCAGGTTCTTCTTGTAGAGCTGTTTTACAGCTCGAATGATGCGTTGGTCCAAGTGCTGAGCAATCGCTGTTGTGTTTGGTGGCAGAAACGCCAACTGCACAGCCGTCAGGTTCTCCAGGGCGACGTGCGCCGAAGCGTTGTCTAAAATAATAACTCTTCTGTTCTTAGCCGCAAAACGACGACCGATGAGGCGCACATACTCCTCTAAGAGTTTTGCCGTCATCCACGTTTTGGTGTTGCTGCGATAGATGACCCCTGATGGCAACCGGGAGTCTTTGAAACCTCTAGGCTTCGCCAACTTTCGATCATGAGGAGTGGAGTTTTGTCGGTTTCAGTCTTGTTAACGCAAAACGCCACTGATATTCTGTCTTTTGCATGCTTGTCGCCGGTGCTCGTCTCGCCTTTGAACGTGAGCGTTTTGTCTGGTAGCAGCTTAAAGAATAGCCCCCATTCATCCATATTAAAGATGTCATCAGGTGCGTAGTCTTCCAAGATGTTCTTCATCTGACCATTTTGCCACTGCTTCGTGCCATCCACGTCAGCAGCAGCACCTTCTCCCGAAGGAGTCCTCGTGGTAATGCCGTGCCTCGCCATAAATCTGGCCAGCCAGCCATTGCAGCACATGAAGTTGTCATGGTTGAGCTGCGAGGCAAAAACCAGGGCCTTCTCCACGAGCAGGGGTCCGCTAATAGGCAGATTTTTGACCCTGCAGCTTTTAGCCACTTCACCAGCGCCTCCTCTACATCCGAAAACGCCGAACCGCGTTGCCGGCACCTTTTCGCAGTTGCAGCAGCACTGCCGAGCAACTTCTCTCTGGAATTCCAAATTCCACACACCGTGGTTAACGGCAGGTTCTTTTCGCGTGCCAGCGCCGATTTTTTCGTGCCACTTTCAATAGCACGAATGATGTCCGATTTCTCTTCTATTTTTAGCACTCCATGCTTTTGTCCCAGCTTCGGCATGACGCAAGTACGAAGCAGCACAAGCACACCTACACAACACGTGAAAAACAACGCGAGAGCTGTACGGCACGGATCAACCAGAGAACACCTATGCACGGCGCCAAAGGAACAAAGAAAGCAAAGCAAGCGCACATAGTGTTTGCGTGTTTGTACAAAGCGCCATCGCGTGGACAACACCAGAAGCCTAGCCGGCCAAGTGCTTCTTGTTGCAGGAAAATCCAACCAAGAGATGGCACTCACCAACACAGCCGTCATCATCATCAACACAAACATGCGAGGCGTGTTTCGATCTCTGGGGCTTGCTGTTCTGTCGGGATGCCCAGTGGGGGACGACATGCCGCAGGAAATGCGCAACGGGAATTGGAAAAGCTACTTATTAACCGATACATACGCGATAAGCTGTCATTAGCTGGTCATTAAGGGTAACTGACTGGATTCCCAGAGAAGGGAAGCGGGTTAGGGGGAGACAGAAGGTTAGGTGGGCAGATGAGATTAAGAAGTTTACGGGTATAAATTGGCAGCAGCAAGCACAGGACCGGGTTAACTGGCGGAACATGGGAGAGGCCTTTGTCCTGCAGTGGACGTAGTCAGGCTGATGATGATGATGATGATGATGATACGCGATAAGCTGGTACGGCTTATGCGGATACAAAATGCATTATGTTCAATGGCCGCCGAGTTGGGGATTTGACTTCACTACTTTTAAAACGAAACTACTGTTTACGCGGGTACTGTTTAACGAGGTTTCACTGTATCAACCTGTTGCACAGGGTCACGTGCACGAGGGCCCTGAGCCGAGTCAGCTGACTGGTTTTGTGTCGACGCTCGCCAAGAGTCCACCACCTGGCGGAGGTTGCCCTGGAGTGTATGCGCTTGATTGTGAAATGGTGAGACCTTCACTTGTGGCATTGAGTACTCTTGAAACTCGTCAGCAGTGCTGCTGGTGAAAAGTAAGCCATTTCGTGGGTGCATCTTAGGTGTACAGGAAAGCTCTTTTATGGAACTTTGCATGCTGTCACTTGTGGCAAATTACCATGTATTCATAACCTCTTGCTTTATCATTCATCAAGACTTGGAAGTCCTGTACTTGAAGGTCCAAATGAAGGTCCAAATGTGATTTTCCAGCCCATTGTCGAATAGTTTGAGCACTGCTTCAGTTAATCTTGTTTCGGTAATGTAAGCATTGTAACTTGTGCTGGCACAACTTATCTTAGAAGAAAGAAATGTCTGGTAACGGTAATTACAAAAAAAAAAGTGGCAGGCAAATTACATTTCCAATTCCTGAACCCTTCGCACTGCTGTCATCATCAATGCTGATGGGCAGTGGATTATTTCCAGTGCTGTGGCAACGGTTGGAGATAGAAGAAATATGGTTGTGCTGCTGAATTGTGTGCCAACAGAAATTAAGGGGGGACGTGGCAATGAAAATTATCTTTGTTATTTATGAAGCTAAAAAGATGAAATTTGGCATGCAGATGTCATTTGTTGTGCTGACATCATAACTGAAATTGGTTTTGAGATATCTAATAAACTTTTGAGTTATTACACTTGATAGACTCATTGTGATTTCAAAATTAATTAACTAATTAGATGCAAATTTGTCAAAATCTTTGCATAAGGATATTTACATGGGTCCATTTTGTGCCGTAATGCTATTAGTTTATTTTTAATATTTAAGGAAGCACACAAAATGTTCTGAAATGTTCTGGACATGTTGTCTTACCAACAACTTCTACAAAAAGCCAACTACAAAAGTCTGTATGATGTGCACACAAATATGGACACCTTTACGGCACTCACCAATGTCTCAAAACCTAAGTGCAGAAAACGCAATGGCTATAGCCTAATTTGTTGTGAAATGGTACAGGAATGACTGACAGCAACTGTTCAAAAAATGAAACCTGAGAAAATGGAGCTCAAAGATATTGGAGCTACAAGCTGATAAAATGAAACTCTGAAGGAGGCTGGCTTTATTTTTTATTGGCGAAATGCATCTTTGTGGTTATCTTGAGCTTTAATCTGTCCTCTTTATGATGATGCCAATATGGTGGCACTTTGCCAAGGGAAAGCTGCAAATTTGCATTTTTCTATGCCCAATTTTCACAAAGCTTTTGACGACAGCCCACCAGTAAAACGCTAGTTTCTCAACTTCTGTTACTTATTTTGATATAAAATCACACCAGGATGTAAAACATAGTCTCAGGATTACAGAAAAAAAATAAATTGAAAAACTGAACATTTTGACCAAGTTTACGATTCCCATTGCCACGTCCCCCCTTAAATTGGCAGTGATGATATCCGTGTCTACAAGAGTAACTGTACTCGTATGTCAACCCCAAACATTTCTCAGATGAGGCAAGAAAGGCCCTTGAAATCGATTTAAGTGTACTTTATTTATCCAACTTCTGACAGAAAAATTTTTTCATCTTTGAGAAAAGATATCACACTTGTGTGTACTCGTAGTATCAGAAATAATCTTTGGTCCTTTTTCATCTAATTGTTAACAGGAAATGTAGGTGTACCTCGAAGTGATCTCTGTCTTTTTTCAAAACGACTTTTTTGGGTGTTAGTGCACTTTCTTCACAGGAATTTATGGCATAGGCAAACAAGAAGTCTCATATGTGTGAGCTGGTAACATTCACGTAACTGGAATCGGTATAAGTAGCCCAAGTCCAAGTATGTTTGTATTGTCTTAGCTTAAAAGGAAGAAAAGAAACATTCATAAGTAGCAATTTCGTACATGGACAAGCATAAAATATTGTAACTAAGTTAGCTTATGTTGTGGGCTCACAATTTTAGTTTGACTTACGTAAAGCGTTAGTGGCTACCTTTGTACAAAATTGCAAAGCTCTGCAATTAGTAGTTGAGAAGAAATGAGTATGTTTGTCTAAAAAATAAAATGAAAATTTTAAATATGCTTAATAGCAGAAGTAACTAGCCGCTGTCTAATGAAACATGCTCCCCAGGGCCATCGTCTCCTGTAATAAGATATACTGTGAACAGTTTTGTGATCTTCTGTGGAATTCAGTATACCCCTACTACAGTAGATCCCAGGTATATCGAATTACTTGCTATATTGAACAGTTGATAAATCTCTTTGAATTCCTTATGCAGAAGTAAAGGACTGTTGCACGCATATATTGAGCTTCTGCAGAGTGTAATCTCCAATATATCGAATGCTGCTCCAGGCCGAAGCCTAGAAAGTGCATTTATTCTGACAAAGATTGATCATTTTTCGGCCGTGTTTCTAATAAGTTTCGATCCCTTCTCAGTCGCAAGTGACACAAAGGTGGTGTATTTCAGTGGTTCCGCAGCACTTTTTGTGAGTGCATCAGCACATGATGCATGATATGCCATAAGTTGTAACGTGTGGACACTGTTTTTCAAAGGGTTCAATTGCCAAACGCACCGAAATCAGATGAATGCAAAGTGACTTGGTGGCCTTGTCGCAGTGTTCACATTCCTTTTCTTGCTTGTTCGTGCACAATGCTATAGAGGCCCAAAAAGCATGGCCTTCAAGATCCGCAACCTTATGACGTGTCTTTGGCGTTTTTTAGTTATAAAGTACACCTATCTGAAAATGCACTTTTTCTTGCTTTTCGCTCTCCGCTACCTACAACGCCCCTTGTGTCATCGACATCTGTTTGTGGATAGGGTGGACAGCGTTGTCAATTGTGGCTTGTCAACTTCAGTAGTTCTCGCTTCGTTCTTGCTGAATCTTTTTTCTGGAGGCGAACCACAGATTGAATTGCTCGTAGTGATAACATTGATGGCTGGTGCTTGGAACAACGTCAAGCAAAGCGCCGTCGTGCACAGTTTTTTGCGGGCTTCAGTGTCAGGTGACGACTTCGGGTGTGCCATCACTGCTGACAACAATGTACAGTGCCTTAGTCAGTTTTGCAAATTGTTAGCATTCCCGGGTGCTATATCAGACGGCAGTACAGAAAGGGACTTCATCGGTGCAGATGACGATGTCGCTGTTTCTGAGTGCATCGATTCTGATATCATGGCTGGCTTTGTCAGTGCTGTGGAAGTGATCCCGTGCTGTTACGAATCATTACAGCTCTGTGCTAAACAACATTTTACTGTGCTACATAGCTTGTAAAAGTGTTCAGCGTTAATCACCGTGCTTGTAGGCCAAGGTGCTGAACTAGGTTAGTTTTAAAGCTTTAATGCTCGATTAATGATAACGACTTGGTGAACTTGGCGGCGTGCAAGTAAAAACAAGTCTACGAACTTTGTCACGCGAAGAAGTGCCGGAACTTGCAAAAAGAAGTTGTCACCTTTTTTTTTAAAGCATACTGCGAGCAAATCGTCACATTATTGCTTATTACGATTTCTGAAAGCCGTTTCAAGAATTGTAATACATTAATATAAGCTTAAAAAACACATATTTCTTATATGAAGCATCGATATATCGAACAATTTGCAATTCCTTTGAGTTTGATAAATCCATGATCGTCTACTGTAATGGTTTTAGTTTCACAAGCATTCAGTCATCTAACAGTCCTCAAGGAACAAAGCGCCAGCACACGAGATTTCGCCTTAAAAATTCCTTTTCTTTCTTTTTTTTTTTTCATACTGTGCAGTGCTACACGTCCGAAGGAGTGGAGCTCACACGAGTCACGGTGGTCGGCTGGGACCTGAGGCCCGTCTACGAGAAGCTCGTGAAGCCGCGGGGACAGATACTGGACTACAACACGCGGTGAGTGTGTTGTACAGCTCGCTATTGGTGACCCTGGCCACCTAACTGACCTGTTTTGTGCGTGATGTGCACACAATGAAGCCTTGATAGTGTGAATTTTTACAGGATTAAAAAAATGTATATTTCTTATGAATTGCTTAATTATTGACGTCATCTAAAAAACCAATCAAGTGCTTAGTACGCATGCACTTATTTACCAAATGAATTCTATTATTAAAACGGCTATCATCTGCTTATAACAACAATTATTTTCTAACCACTGCATTGACTTGAAACAGTTATGACATCTATCGTGATGTTACTGATGAATTTGATACCAACGAAATGCGAGTGGTAGTACGACTGCTCTTTGTTTTCAACTGCTCCCACCATGCTCATGACATTGTGCCCTCATGGCACCGACTTAAAATGAATTTTTTCCAGGGAAACTGATGGTTGCGGTCAACTTGGTCACAGTTTAGAGGAGATTCGCAGCAAGTTGAAAGGAAACTCAAACTGCTGTTCGCTGCATTTCTGGCAAAGCTGGCGATCGTGGATGATGACTGCACATTTGCAACAGCTCACGTTAAGCAGGAATGAAACAGCTGTTTACTGCAGTTGTTCTGGGTGAAACATTGGTCACTATTGATGGATTTATAGATGGCATTTGTGCAGCTCTGGAAGAACACAAAAAACATACATCCACTGTGGCAAAACAAGACTGTCGTTTGCTGCAGTCACTTCAGAGTTGCTAAGGATGCAGTAGGGTATGGTGGAAGTGCCGTTGTGAAGACACAAGCACTGCCATTGTGCTGTACTCTGCAGCTCCTGTTTTCGGGGGAAATGCTCTGATGTTCCTGTTTCTCTGTATAGTTGCCTCTGTAAACTAAGGCGATAGGGATGTTGCCGCTTTGTTTTAATTCGACGGTAGCACCGTATTAGCTTTCATGCATTGTGTGTTTGCCGTGTCTTACGGTCAGCATGTTCTGATTATCTGCTGCTTAATAAACTGGGGAGCGTTTAATGCCAACAAGCTATGCACATGCTTGGTGACATCAAAGGATGACCTTGCACAGTGTGACTTACTTAATTTTATGGGGTCAAATTAACCAAGTTTTATTGTAGCCCGCAATCATTTCTTCTAGTCAACCGTCCAGCCTTTCAGAGGTTCCAGTTGGTTTATTATTTTGTTACATGAGTTTTCGAATGCTTCAAGAAAAATAGTGTTCTTGGAGAGGTGTTGCAAATTATTTATGTTTATTCATTGAACAGCATGTCACTTGTAAGTTTCTGTTTTTCAAGTCTGCCGATGCACATGTGCAATTTTGGCGGGGAAATGGCTAATTGTTGTGAAGTATTCTTTATACATGACGCAAAAGTTGTCTTCGCCTTCTGTTTTTTTATTATGGTTGCTGCAGTGATATTATTCGAGTGCTCGCACTTTGATAGCTACTATGCTGACTGCATTGCTTTATGCTGTTTTGTCGCCCGGGTGTAATACAGGTTCAGTGGCCTGACAGAAGAGGACATGGTGGGCGTGAAGACGAACCTAAGGGATGTCCAGGCTGCCCTGCTGGCCCGTTTTTCGGCCGACACAATCCTCTTGGGCCACAGTCTCGACTCGGACTTGCGCGCCCTGCGGCTGATTCACGAGACTGTCGTCGACACGGCCGCCGTGTTCCCCCACCGACGGGGACTCCCTTACAAACGAGCCCTGCGTACCCTCATGGCCGAACACCTCAGCAAGATCATCCAGAATGGAGGTGATTGACAGCTTTCGAGGCTGATGTGCTTGGTTAAAACAAAACTCACTGGGTACCTTGTGCAGTCAGTTAAGACGAATCAAAGGGAAAAGCCATCCTCTTTTTTTATAGTTGGTCAATTTATTTATTGATCCTGCCATGCCATCCTATGAAAGCTGTCTGCATTCAACATGGTTTAGCTCTGCTTCCAAGATCAGAGGCACCACACCTGATGCTGCATTGCCTCTGGGATCCGACTACTCTTGACCAAGCTACGATTCCATGTGATGACGTCATCACGTTACTCTACGTCACAGTTACGTCATGATCATGCTAGAAAATTTGGTGATCTGAGATGTCATGATGATGTCATGTAGTGGCATCATCATGTGACACTAATTGCATTTGTCATGTACAGTGCTTTAATCTTTCTTTGTTCGATCAATCAATCTTTCTTTATTCTAGTTTTATCCCCTGCTATTGATTATTTTAATCAATAACAATTTATTGGTTTTAATCAATAGCAATTTATTTTAATGATTAATTTTATCAGTAGAGTTATCATGTTTTGTAATAGTGTAATAGTTTGTAATTGTTTTTGCTGTATTTTTTTGTAATTGCCCCACACATGTCGTCATAAGAGGTCCCCCTGCCAGTTTTTCTGAAGTGGTCCAACATGCCAGTCCATCTAGAGATTGGCGTGTTGGACCGACTTGTCAGACCCGCGGTGGCTGATAGGTTCTGCTTATCAGCATTGTGGATTAGCCGCAGTATGCTTATGGTTCGAGTGAATGCCCAATAGCATGATTGCCTCACAGGTGAAGGGCGGGTGCGCCGTGTGTGAAGCAGCTATTTATTCTTAAATTGTGACTGATTGTGGTATATTTGTATAGCTACCCTCATACCATGCGCTTAGCATCGCCAAGGAGGTGGCTGAATTTGCTCTGCCAAGTGGTGACGCAATGCCTTTCATTGTGCGCAGTGGATGGTCACGACAGCCAAGAAGATGCAGCCGCCTGCATGGAGCTGATGCTGTGGAAAGTGCGTGACGACCTCAAGAAAGGTGCACGATGATCGCTTGGATGTCTCCAGCAATACCAAACATGGCTGCTAGAAAGAGCAACACTCGATCCACTTCGCTGGAGCAGGGAGTGTGACCGGCCTTGTCCGCTGGCGTTGCGAAAAGACTGCACTGTTGGCTCAGGCGGTTCATGACAAGCTGCTTGCTAAGAACAATTATAGAAGTGTCAGAGTATTCAAAGCCTGCGGTGGTTTCAGATTACCCCGGGTTCGTCCCCACCTGAGAACCTGCCTTGCGAGAGCAATGCTAGCAGTTCTCACAGACGAAGTTGAGGCACACCCTGAAAAAACCACGTGTATTTGATTGCGTTGAAATAATGCTTCATCCACCTAAACTTTGAAATGGCTGCTCTCGCTCTAAAAGCAGTGTACTGATTCAGAAGCGAGTGGGTTTGAACAAATTCTAAAGCTTTTACAGATATGGGGGCATGGAAAAAATAAATGTCTGACAGAAAAATTTTATCCTTAAATTAGGGGAAAAGAAGCATGAGTACTTTTCAGTGTCGTCTGGGATTTTTATGAAAGCTGCCACACGAAGCCGCATGAGAAGCTTGGCAGTGACTTTAAATTTCGCGAGTATTTGTTGCACAGACTTGTGTCTGATTGCTTTTCTTGCCGCGCTTCCAAAGGTCACACGTGTTTAACTTTGAGGAAGGCAGAGTCTGAGATAAGTGTGATAAAGGATGTCTTTTATGTGTTTTGTTAAAGTAGATAAAGTTGCAAGAGAAGGAAAGGGTGAGTTCTGTTCGCTTAGTGCCTGTCGATTAAAATGTAAGTGATAAAGAAGTCACCCCTTTCTCACTTGCCAAGCACAGCTTCTTGACTTTGTGAGCATGCGAAGCACTGCGATCCGCGCCTTCATTACACCTAGCACCTCTTGGGTGGTGTGCATTGCCAGTGCTGGTCGCCTTTGGAATGCACGCTGCTGTCATTGCTCCCATGTCCCATTGTTAGCATGGCTGGGGTCGTGTTTAAGACGGGGATTTGTAACCGATATTTATGTATATATTCCATACACTGTTGTCTGTTCTTGCACTTGTTTTCCCTCTCCTTAATGAGCAATACAAGATGTACCACATCCAATAAACGTGTTGTTTCGAAGTTACTCGTCTCGTCTGTTTGGTCGAAATCACTTGCACGCAGAGTGATGCACTACTGCAAGTGACACAAGGTGCTTCCCCACCAAGCACTCTCTATCAAGCTCTTGCAGTTTTCCACATATTCCCCCCCCCCCAAAAAAATCCTTCCACAAGGATAAAACTGGTGCAAAAGGGGTGGACCTGGTTCAAGCTAAAAGTTATGTTCGATATATGTGATACTGGAGCATAAGTTAAGCTGTAATGAACTGTCAGGATAATTATGGAAATAAATAAATGAGTTCATTTAAAGAGCAGACGGTTGCTTTGTAAGCAGCTGGGAACGTTGTGGTACCTGGTGGAGCAGGTCTCAACCACGTTTTTTTTTTATGCGGCCTCTGAGATGCGCTTCAGCAGCATGAAGGAATGCGAAGTTAAACCTAGGAAAACACTAGAGCAAACGAACACTGATGTGCTGTTACCAGGTAAATTAAAGTTTATGGGCACCTCGAATTTATTCTCTCGAGAAGTTCCTTACTATGCTGTCAGAACTGCAGTTCATGTAACCTACGACCTCTATTGTAACACTTGACAGCTGCTAGTGTGTATTCTTATTGAGCTATACTAGCATGTCATTTGGTACTGCTTCTTCGGCCGCTCTGGGTAATGCTGCCTGGATGGTTTTTCTTGGTCACTTGAGGTCTTCCAAAGGGACGATCTAATGGGTGCCCATCATGCTAGAATATACACGGCTTGTGTGCCTAATAGCGCTATTAAATGCGAAGCATTTCTTAGCGAACCTCGGCGACTTTCAGCGTATCTATCTATCTATCTATCTATCTATCTATCTATCTATCTATCTATCTATCTATCTATCTACCTACCTACCTACCTACCTACCTACCTACCTACCTACCTACCTACCTACCTACCTACCTACCTACCTACCTACCTACCTACCTCTATCTATCTATCTATCTATCTATCTATCTATCTATCTATCTATCTATCTATCTATCTATCTATCTATCTATCTATCTATCTATCTATCTATCTATCTATCTATCTATCTATCTATCTATCTATCTATCTCCTTACGACATTTAGTTCTCCTGGCCGTTTCGATAATGGTATCGATACCAAACTTGGTATGCCATGACATGACTGCATGACGAGCATAAATGACTAGTCATAACATGAAAATCATGAAATTCATGTCATGATTTACATTTTATGGTCTTGCGGTGGTTTCGTTCACATGACATGTTGCAAAACTGGCATGTAGGACGTGACTGCATTGTGAACATAAGTGACAGACCCAAACGCAGAAATCGTGACATGCATGTTATCATTTTTATGTTATCACTACTCATGACTACACACCACGCTCATGGTATGCTCGTGGCCGTTTCGTATCTAACAAATTTGGTGTTGCGGGATGTGAATGAATGATGAAGGTATATGTGACTGGTGCAAACATAATCATCAGTGCAGGTGCGTGTCTTGTAACGACATGACTACATGCCACGCTTATGATGCGCTCGCGGCCGTATCACTAGCGTCACATGTACCAAATTTGGTATTACATAACGCGGACGGACGACTAGGTAAAGGACACGTCCCAAAATGATAATCGTAACATGCGTGTCATGTAACAACATGACTACATGCGACACTCAAGGCGCCAATACACTTCGACGTCACCCGGTGCGCGTGCGCGCCGACGTTCGTTTCGCCGTGTCACGCTGGCGATGCAACGCCAGGCGCGGATCTGCGCCTGCGTTGCTTTGATGCATGCGTGTTTGAGCGCACCCGGCGTCCCTCCATCACGAAGACAGGCAGATGCAGTGTTGTCTGTGTAACGTCATGGGCGCGAAATGCAGCATGTTGCATTTAGCGCTGGTTGTCGTGGGGCCGCGCCGACGGGCGCTGGTTGCACTGGTCGAGTCTGGCATCCGTTTTGCTAGCGCAGCGTCGCTGCGCCCAGCGTGCGCGCTCGTCAACGTTAGGTCGGGGCATATTGGGCCCTTTATGATGTGCTCGCGGCAATTTCGCTAGCTTCACATACATCAATTTTGGTGTTACGTGACGTTTATGAATGACGAAGGTATATGACTGGTGCAAGCATGATAACCATGACACGTGCCTTGTAAGAACTAACATGATACCATGCTAATGATGCGGTTGCGGCCGTTTCACTTGCTCCACATATACCAAATTTGATATCACCTAATGTGGATAGACAACGAAGGTAAATGATATGTCTATACATGATAATCATGATATAGTGTCATGTAAAGTGCATTTTTGAGGAAGGCAAAGCCCGACCACAGGACTAAAGTGAACTAGCCCGACACGACTTCCTTGCACTATGGTGGCTAGATGGGGAGGTGTCGGCACCGGGCAGCCTGCGCTGCGAGAGGAGATGCGCCAGTGTTCCATGACGCTGTTAGGTGGCCACTTGTCGCCACGGAGATGCCTTCATGCTCGTGGTGAAGAGCTGCCGTGCGGCCACTGCCTTCAGTGATTTCTTTTTCCAACGTGGCCGTGCTCGCTACAGCTATGGTGATTGAAAAGAGACAGAGACACTGCTTTGCTCCAGGATGTACTGCCGGGTATTTTTCCGCCAGAAACCAAGGTAAAAAAATGGCAGCATATCTATGGATTGAATGATGGAGAGTGGGGCGAAGCATTCGTCCGTCCATTCGTTCTTGCTTCCGTACGTCCATGCGTCCATCTGTGTGACCGTCCGTGCATCCGTCCACCCGTCCGTGCGTGCGTCTGTTCGTGCGTCCGTCCCTGCGTTCGTACATGCATTCGCCCTGTGTCCGTTCATGCGTCCATCCATACATCTGTCTGTGTGTCCGTTCGTCCATCTATTCAACACTCCAAGTACCACCATCTCGCTTCTTTTCATCATATATTCGATAGATGGATGGATGGATGTATATGGCTGTACCCTCTAGATCGGGCGGTGGCTAGCGCCACCAAGCCGTAATACTTAACGAACCAAAAACGAGATTTATTTTTCCCCTTAAGTAGGGAGGTTGAGGATTCGTACTTTGCAGTGAAGGATTTAATTTTCACTCGTGCCTTGACTTTCGCCATCAATCAGATAACCTCCTTCTAGGTAATTCTACCCGCTTAAAGTCTATTTTGCCCTCACTGTCCTAAACCCCAGTGCTTTGAAAAAACTCTGCACCATCATCCTGAACTATAGGGTGAAGCACTTACAGAACATTATCAAGTGTTCCGCAGTTTCTTCTTCTCCACACGCACTACATACCGTGTCTACCCCTTCGTATTTGGCCCGATATGTCTTGGTGCGCAATACTCCCGTTCTGGCCTCAAACAGTAGAGAACTACCGGAGTATTATCATAGAGCCTTTTCTTGGCAATTCCTGCTTAAAGGTTCGATAGATCTTTAGTTCGGACTTCTTGATTACCCGGAGTATTATCATAGAGCCTTTCCTTGGCAATTCCTGCTTAAAGGTTCGATAGACCTCTAGTTAGGACTTCTGATATGCCAATTCTCCACGCATCGGTCTCAGGTTCCTTCTCTTTTTCTTAACCGATAATTCTTTTTGGTTTGGCTCTCTTAACTTTCTCATTCCACCAGCTTTTGGGTCTGTGTCTTTTTTTCCGGGGTGACTTGTCACGTGCCTTAGCAAGCTCTAGCTGAAACAATCTAACTAGATTCGTGTATGTCCACACTGTTTTATTATCCTCAGTGATTGCTTTCTCACTTTGTTTAGTGGCTGTTTCAATTTGCCTTTCTGAATAAAAATTTTCCTGTAGTTGCTCATCTTGTCTCCTTCCCACTTTCACTGCTCTACCAAAACTTAGCTTGATACGTTTGTGATCACTACCCAGACTTCTAGAGCCACTTTCATCTATGTGCATTCCCCTGAGCTTATCATACATGCTATGTGACATCAGTGCGTAACTATTGTCGACTGTAGCCTTCCTACTTCCCGTCTTATTTGCCCTTCACACTTCTCGGTACTGTTGCAAATGATCAAATCAAGCTTTTCACACATATCCATGATCGTTTTGCCGGCCGGGTCGGTATACCGATCTATATCTTCTATGTGTGCATTCATGTCTCCTAGTATAATTATCTCGCACTCTCTTCCTAACTCCTGAATGTCCTTTGATATACACTCCACCATCGCCTGGTTTTCCCCTCTGGCCTTTGCTTCCGTCCACAAGTACACGAAACCAAGGAGTGTGAATTGCCCTGCCACTTTCCCTTTTAGCCATAAATGTTCCTTGCACTCCTGCTTGACCCTTTGCCAGTCTGTACTTTTATGATTGAATGCCCCAATACCACACCCCTTTCTGCTGCCTTCTGTTCTATTACAATAATCCCACTCGTCCGCATTGTTAGCAGGTTGTTCCGTGTCCCTGAGATGT